CTGTCGCACCGGGGTGCGCGGAGGTGCAACCGCGGCCCACAAAGTCAGCTCAGTGTCGCCATCCTTGGCCGGGAGGGGAATGAGATCCCGGTCTGGCTCCTTGGCTGCAGCACGAAAGTAGAACACCTTGGAAGCTTTCTTGCGCAATTGCCTGAGCATGGCGATTTCTGTGAAAGAGGCTTTTAGCAGGTCGGTGACCTGCTCGACAGTCCAATCGGCCGGGACCCACGGCACCGACCAGATTTTCGCAATGGGTTCGCCGTCGGCAAGTGGTGCAATTTGGCCGAGTTTGCCTCCACGATGTGCGAGACCCAGGTCCCCAGCCGAACGCCGCATGCGAGCAAGGTATTCACCCGGAGCCTCGCCCTTGGTAGGTTCAACCCAAGTGATTTTGGTGGGAAGCTTCGGTGCTTCCTTATTCTTAGCGCATTCAAGGAAGATGCCGTCGATGCCAGAGAGCGCAAGCACCGGCTTCAAGTCACTTTCGCTGACCCTGAGAAGGCCATACAGCTGGAGGTCCTTAGCGAGGCGTTCTTCCTTCCAGCCCCAGGCGTCCAGCACATTGACATGGTGGTCTGCCATCCACTGCATCATGACACGGGAGGGTGTCTTGGCAACAGCAGCCCAAAGTTTTTCGGTGGCAAAGCTTTTCGGGATCCTCGCATGCAGGACCACAGAGGGCTTGCGAACCACGGCAAAAGTGGGCTTGGCACCCTTAGGTGCCGGGACAGCATCTGTCGGATCAGAACGAAGGAAGCCCGTGGTGGCTTTGCGGAATTGCAGCTGATCCTTCACGAGGCCTGGGACCCGGGCGGTTCCCGCAGGATCGAGGCACACCAGAGTGACGGAATAAGCCTTGGTACATCCAGCTGCCATGGCCTTGATAAGCTGAGCCTGCTCAGAGTTGCACAAGATCACGCCTGTCAGTTTCTCACCCTGTGGGATCGCCTCAAGCTTTTCAGCGAACTTTGTGGGATCAAGGAGGGGCTGATTCCAATCTTGTGCTCTTAAGCAGAATTCGTCATTGGGTTTCGGTCGTGCTCTTGGACCGACAGTGATCCATCCAGCCTTGGCATCCTCCGGTGTGATGCCTATGCCTTTACCTCGAGAGGGGTTTGCAGGGGCCTCGGTCGAGGGCTTAGGAGGGTGCATGGGCTTATCACCTTTGTCTTTGTGCTTGCCTTTGCCTTTGGCCTTGCCTTTGGGCTCTGGCTGCTCTGCTAGGGGCTGTTGCTCCTTATTTTTGCGCTTTCTGCGGGATCTGGGCGGAACACCGTCGCCAGTCCCTGCAGCATTCGGAAGCAAGGGAGCAAAAGGACTGTTTGCCAGTGGCACTGACACTTGACCCCCCAGGAGGGAGCCCAGATTAAGATCAGCAAGGATCTTTTGCACTGCCTCCTGCACTAGTTGCATGATTTGTTGCTTGAGTGCATCAGCGAAACCACCCCCCAAGTCGAAACCCGGACCCGGGTGGCTGGCCTCTCCAATTCGGGCACCAACCTTGTCGTCATGACACCACTCCCGGCTGGGAGCGCTCTGAATGCAGTCACCTGTGGGACTGAACCTCGGGCCCGGGTGTCTGGCTTCCCCGATTCTCTCTCCAGTTTTGTCGTCATGGCACTGATCCCGGCTGGGGGTGCAAATCCCAAAAGGAAACCTAAAGTTGCACCAACCTGCGAAGACCTTACCGCAATCAAGAAACGAGGGGCACAGCAGGAGCCAGCCTCGGGACGAAGTTCGGCAGGATGCATCTGAGGATATGCCGGGCTCTTGCGAGCGCTCTTGACCTGCAGTAGCATCGAGGACCAAGGCAGGGGAAAGCAGGGTGTTGCCGGAGTGGGATGCATGCAGGGCTGCACCAGTGGTTGTAGCTGACCCTCGGTGGGATATGCTAGGGTCTTTCAACCAAACTTGACCACACCTCGGGCTGGCTTCAACACTTTCGAGAAGGAGATCATTCTGTGGATCCGTGCGGGCAGCAGTGGTCCTAACCCGCCCTTGGCAGGATTTCTCGCCCTCTTTCGAGGAGTCACGACCACACCTCAGGCAAGGCTGGCCGGTTGCGCCACAGCACCAACGGTTGAAAGTCGGATCAAGCAAGGAGGCTGAGGATATCATGCATGTGTTGCGCTCAAAGTTCAGCTGGGGCCAGAAGGGATTACACCCAAAGGGAACCAGGGGAACCGGCGGCACGGGATTAGAATGCAGCTGTTGCTGATGTCCAGCCCTCGCCTGCAGGGTGCCATCGCCACGGTTGTAGAAGCGTTTGCGGGGCTTCACATAAGCACACGGTGCTGGGAGCGGCCGCTTGCAGTCACGGCACCGGGCGCTGATCGAAACACCTGCAGCGCTTCGGCAGCAGCGTTTTCGAGGCTTAGTGTACGCCCTCAGTGCTGGGAGCTGCCGCTTGCAATCGACCCTCGGCCCTGGGTGGTTGACCTCGCCGGGTCGCGCTTCAATGTTACCATCCGGACCGTTGCCCCGGCTGGGGTCACAAGCCACAAAGGGAAACTCAGAGTTACAGCAACCGAAAGCAGCCTTACCGCGATCAAGGAAAGCGGTGCAACACTGAAGCCAGCCTCGAAGTGAAGACCGGCAGGGCGCTCGTGAGGATGTCACGGGCTCTTGCACACTCGTTCGACCTGCAGCAGCAGAGGGAGCCAGAGCAGGAGAAGACTGGGTATTGTCGGATTGGGATTCATGCAAGATGGCACAATCTGCTTCAGCGATCCTTCGGTGGGATATGCTAGGATCTTTCGACCAATCTTGACCGCACCTCAGGCTAGCTTCGGCACTTTCAAGAAAAGAGGCATCATGCAAATCCGTGCGGGCAGCAGAGGTCCTGACCTGTCCTTGGTGGGATTTCTCGCTCTCTTTCGAGGGTTCCCGACCACACCTCGGATAAGGCCGGCCGGTTGCGCCACAGCACCAACATTGGGAAGTCGGATCAAGCAAGGGCTCAGAAGAAGCAACACATGTTGTGCACAAGGGAACCTGCCGCACATGATCACATGAACCCTGTCCTGGATGCCCTGCCATGATTTGCAGAGTGCCTGTCACACCGCAGCAGAAGCGCTTGCGAGGCTTGGTGTAAGCCCGCAATGTTGGCAGCAGTCTCTTGCGATGCAGCTTCGTCGCTGTACCGGGGAACCCAACAGGACTAAACCTTAGGGGGGTCCCAGGGATGCACATGCAGGTGGCACCGGAGCTGCCAACATCAAGTCGTCGCCCGCGGCTGTCGTCTTGGGACGGCTGTCCTCTCGCGTCGTCGTCGCCAGTGATCGTGCCCTCCAGGTCCTCGAGAAACGTGTCGGTGGACTTGCCCTTCGGGTGGAAGTGCTCGCTCAACTGGCCGCCAGCAGCCGCCGCCGCGCAAGCGGGAGGAGCCTGAAAGCCAACACTGTTGCCATGGCTTCCGCACTGCGAGGCTGAAGGCCCCGGGGGGCCCATGGGCGGGCCGGTGGAGCTAGCATGTTCGCCCTTTTTGTCCTCGAGCGGATCTTGATTGTTTCTTCTCGGTTCTAGGGTCCGGTCCCCGGCATCTGGTCGACGTGACACAGACACCTTACCTACCCTACAACACTCTTTGTCCTCACGCGGATCTTTTGTTGTTCTTCTCGGTTCTTGGGTCCGGTTCCCCCTAGACCTAAAAGCAGGAACGTCGATGGTGGAGTCGTAGATGCTGAAAGCAATGCCGTGGCTGCCTTCATCGTGCACCTCTTCCCAGCAAATGTGGCCATCAAGAGAGGGACCAGCAGCGATACATGCCGTGGCTTGCCGATCGCCGCTCTGAGCAGCACAAGGGCCAGGGCAATCTGTCTCACCATGTCCACAAGTGAAAGCATCGCTGTCGGAATGATTGCCCACAGCAACAAGATCGCTGTCTCCATTTTCCTCGCCACAGCCCGCAGCCGAGAAATCACAAGCACTGAAAATCTCGCCGCCGCCAACTGCAGCAGCACTTGCACTGATTGTTTCGCCGGCCTTGTTGGCAGCATCGCTGCCCCGGGCCATATCTCTTCTTTCACTGTCACAAGCTCTGTTGGCCTCGGTGCTGCAAAAGGCAGCCTTTGACCAGAGCTCACCTTCCAAAGGCAGGATGCCAAACTCGCCCACAGGAGACCACAGCATGCTTGGTCCAATGCCGATGGCGAGCATCTTCTGCAAAGCCTGCCTCGCACCAAGGAGGTAGGCCTGTCGCTTCTCCACAATGAAACTCACAAGAAGACCCATGGCCCTCGCCACTTTTGCATCACTGGCTCCCCCAAGCGCCCCGGATGCACCCCAGTTGCCACCTCCCAGGCGGCAGTGATTCCAAAAATTGTGCCTCGCTTCCAAAGGGGAAGCTTCGCCTTGCTGGCCAGACCAGCTCCATGGTGCTAAGGGCCCGCGAGCCCAAGGCCTGAGGGGTAGACTCAAGCCGTCGTTGTCATCCTTGTGTAGTTGAGCTGTCATAGCTCTGAGTCGCCTTTGCATATCAGAAGAAAAGGTGGCCGCGCCACCAGAGGAAGGAGCCATTGCCTGCCCCCTCCCACGCACAGCAGTTTTAGCCGGCTCTACCCAGCCGTTGCCCGTTTTGGAGCGCTTGGAGCTAACTGCAAGCCAAAACGGCCTGTTCTCCGCAACCGTTGTGTTTAGGAAGGGCGCTGTGAGCGAAGTTTACAAAACTCAGTTCCCTCATCAGAAATTTTATTGCCCAGAAGATATATTGGGCAAACGGAAATATCGGCGAAGGTATAAATGCACCGACGGTATCCCCAGAGAATATATGGGGTATAAATTCTCATATCTTGCTTTCGCCTCTTGGGACTCCAATCAAATGTATCCTCGCCACTTAATGATGAATATCTAAAGAGATAGCAACTGCCGAAAGGAGCATGCAGGATGTTTTCAAACGGATGGCGGCAGGCTCACGCAGGCATCTAATTCTTGAACAGGTCTTTGACGTGTCGGGAAGGCGCACCTGTGTGCCTGTGCCCCCCCTTCCGCAGGCCGGCACGTCACCAAGGAGACTTCTCTCTCTTTCTCTTGCCTCTGAAGCGTGGCCTGCCACCGACCGTGTCGCGGATGGAATCCACTTCACGGCTGCTCAGCTGTGAACGCCTGGCTTCGTAAAGAGTGCGAAGAAAGGAAAGCGGCAATTCGGAGTACTGCACTGGGACCCGCAACTCCTCAGAGAAACGGTCGAAGATTTCGTTGGTTAAATCATCGGCCTCCTGATTTTCGTCCCGTGGACGCCATCCCAAGTTCAACCGCAAGCCGGCCTTCATGAGAACATGGGTGAGCTGCATGTTAACCATGAGCAAGGGCCAGCGCGTTGTAGAACCCTTGCGAGTCAAGCCCTCGTTAGACTTATTATCCGTCTGAGCTAGAACCTCAACCTTCATCAAACGCCTAGTTGGCCCGGCTTCAAGGTGACCGAAGATGTGCAGTGCAGCCAGCGTGGCCAGCAATTCAGCCGATGCCGAAGCCCACTGACTGTGACCTTCTGAGTCGAAGAGGTAAGGGGCCTCTGAGGGAGTAAGTCGAAGTGAGAACCATCTGGACTCCTGAGTTGTGCCTGCGCAATCCCAACCCCCAAGGACCACGTACCCGTCCGCGCACTTTGCATCAGTGCGGAAGGCCACGCCTTCTCTTTTGACCGATCTTGCTGCGGCGACCTTGAACGTCATGTCCCTGAACGTGAGGTCAAGATATTCAAGAGTAAGGATGACGGTGTCGGGCATCCGAGCGACTGAACTGTCGTTCACCGCTGCCCTCCAGCTGTAAAGCGGTGCAAGGTGTGCCTTAAGCCAAACCAAAAGCCGAGCGACGAAGCCCAGCCCCCCTAAGAACTCAGCAAACCTGCGAACCGAAACAACAAACTTCGAGGACCGAGCCTCAGCGATCCATTTCAAGAGCCACTGGCCCCGCGATTCGGAAATTCCGACCCTCTGGTCTGGATAAGAAAGTTCGTAACCCACAAAAGCCGAAGTGAGCCCACCGCGGAACTTCTTGTATGCGAAAGGTGTGCCAAACATCTCGAAGCATGCTAGCCACATGAGCAAATGATGAAATTTCTCCCTTCCTGCGAAGTTGGCGTGAACATCATCTACGAAGACGAGGTGATAGAACCACAATGTCAAAAGAAAGCGCGCGGTGCAGCGGCCGATGATCCCAAACAATCTGGACCAAAGGAAGGCGGATGATGATATACCGAACGTTCCTACTTTGTTGTACCAAACGACCGGCGTGTCGTTGCGCACCTTACAGCACAACAAAGGCCAGTCGGCCTCTCTGACAAGGAACAACCTGTGAGCCGCCGTCACATCGCCGGTGAGGCAAAAGGTGGCCTCCTGACTTTGCTTTGCGCTGCGCACAAGGTGAACTACCTCCTGGGGTCCGGGATTGGATTGCTGATTAAGTAGCCTAATACCATTGTTGACATGCACACCGTGGGTGCCATCGTGTAATGGCCGAGCGGAACCGTCTGGTTTAATCAAGGAACCTAAAGAAGCTATCCTAACCCTATCCCGCCCGTACTTTTGCTCAAGAACCGGCAACGTGGAAGGCGCCATGCGCCCAAGAGCCTCTTCCTCTGCAAACTTCTTCTCAAGCTGATCCGATGTTTCGTTTGCCGACGAATAGTTCTCGCGATGCCACTCGGCATCCGATTCATCGAGCTTGCGGGACTTGTGTTTGTACTCGTACACCTGTGGCAAGTGAGGCGCGGGGCAGTCATAACCGATCGCGACCCCGCTGACATAGGAGTCCTCCTGGCAAGAAACGGCTTTCCAATCTGGGTCCTGCAACAGCCGAGCCGTCGCAGACACAGCATGCAAGAAGAATGGCTGGCCACTCGGCACCACATCAAGATCCGTACACTTGCCTCCCGAAGCAACCTCTATGCAACTAAACCAATCCTTCCTAAGGACCCCTAACATCTCGGGAGTGAAAGGCGATTCCTTAAGGCGGCCTAGCGCAAGCTCCATCGCCGTGCGCTTGATATCAGGCACAACGTCCGCTACAAAGTCTCGAAGCACTTGATGCATGGCAGTGGCGAACTCCAAAGCCTGCTTGGGCAGCAGGCCCCCCCTGGCTTCCGGAGGCCATCTAGTGGGTGAGCAGAGTCCAAAGCCATCCGTGATCGGCTGAGTTTTGCCATCCCACTCGAGGTTCAAAGGCAGCCCGATGTTGTGGCACTCCTGATGCTTGAAGGGCTCCGGCCTTTCGACCTCACCCCCCTCCAGCACCTCCGAATCATCTGACTGGACCGCCTCAAGATCAACACTGTGCTCTTCGCCCGGAAGGACGAAACCATGCCCGCGAAGAAACGCGAGATCCTCATCGCATGCCTGAGTATGCTCCGATACACTGAAAGCTATGATGACTAATCTCTTACCTTTCCAGGGCATTGTGAGGTGAAGATCGCGGTAGGCATGTATGTAGGTGGGTGTCTCACTGATCGGAAGAAGGTGCCCACTTAAGCGCTTACCGTCAACAATCTGAACAGACTCCCCATCCTGGGCCTCGACCCAGATCTCTCCTCCTACGAAGTCAGTAACCCCTATTATCCCATTGGGCAAAGGTGCGTTCCTGGAGTCTTTGTGGGGCTTGGTGCCAGTGTTAAGGTAAAGGCTAATCGTGGTAAAGGGGTGCCCGGGCATGTTGCTACGCACGAAGGATGCCAAAGCTTCTGTGGAAGCCGGGAAGCCTTTGCACGCGGACCTGAGCCCGATCAGGCCTCCACCCTTCCGGTACAAGCCTGTCGAAAAGCTGCTAGGAACCCAATTAGAGGACACCGCCGACCTAGGCGGAGTCTCATGCGGCAGCAGTTTGAAGAGAGCATGGACCTCGGCCCGAGTCGGGGCTCTCGATGAAGAAATGATGCGTGCGAACTCCTCGGCTTCAACTTGTTTCTTAACCCCCCTAGGTGCTGCCTTCAATGCCTTCGGCTGCGGTTGCCCCGAAGAGTCTGGCCCCGAAGAGTCTGGCGACGGCAACAAAGTGGAAGGAGGTGCTTCCGACTCGATCAAGCCAACCGCCTCTACCCTATCAGTAACCGCCTCTACCCTATCGGAAACCACCTGGTGCAGCCCCTGCGGCACTTCACATAAATCCTGATGCACCTCCTGCGTCGCCTCGTGGGATTCCTGCATTGGACCTGCCTCACCTGGAACGGAGCTGTGCGGCGCTGACCCAAGTCCCCCCTGCGAAGCGGAAGCAAGCACAGCATGCGCAAGCCACTCACACAACAGAGGAGGATAGGCTGCTGATGACTCGGTCGCCCAGCGGGAGCCTTCCCGGCCTGCAAGTACTTTGTCATGTTTCCCGTGCGGGCAGCGTGGCGGCAACGGCCCCACGTAGCGATCACTGGAGTCGAAGCGTGGCCAGGAAGCAAAAGGCGAAGGCTGCTCGACAAAGGCCCGTAGATTAGTGAGAAGGCGTGTGGGTTTGGAAGTGGGAGCCTCAAAGCTGCATTGAAAGAAAGCAAAAGTGATGGCCTGAGTGGAAACCTGGAGCTCACGCAGAGCTGGTAGCTGCCAGATGGAAGCCGGTAACTCGTGATCCGGCGTTGCGCCGAGATCCTCCGGGTGCTCCAGAACATACTGCCATGCAAGTTGACATGCCGTCACGGTCTGATCAAGAAAATAATTAGCCTGCTCCACCTGCTGCGCGTGCAAATTGCTTAACCATGGAAAACCTCTAGGATAAAATGCTGAACGTAGTGGCTTTGGCCCGGGGTGGCGATGCCGGACTCTGGAAAATGTCTCACAAGGAGGAGAGGCAATGAGGATCCAATCCCCTTCGCCAAGCAATTGAAAGATGTGCTGCCACAAGCCTTCCTTAGTCAAGTCATGCTCCGTGGAGCGCTGAAGATCGAACTGAAGAAGATTAGTGACATTGCCCAATGACTGAAGGTAAGAGCCCACATCACCTTTGCGATGGGGCCCCGCGAAAATGTAGAGCACACGAAGCCCGCTCGGACTGTACAGCTGAGGCTGGTAGGCGATGTGGTCTGATGTCTCAATGGTAGAAACCGAATCATGCAATAGTCACTCCTTGGGCTTGCTGGTCTTAAGCTTATGCTCGGTCGCTGAGTGGGGCTGATAACAGCCCTTGACCCGGCACACATGCAAGCGTTCGCATGAAGGATTGGTGCAGCCCTGCGAGTTGAATGCAAAGCAAATGTCGCGGCCCTCCGGCGTGCGCCAAACCAACTGAAGGCCCTTAAGAGCCGGGTCCGAGGGGCTTTTGCCGTTCTTGCCCCCCTTGGAGTCTTTGCCCTTGCCGCCCTTGCCTGTCTTGCCTCCGTCCTTGCCATCCTTGCCCTTGCCCTTGCCTTTGTGCCACTTGCGTGGTCGCTCAATGATGGACAAGGCGAGCGGCGTCGTGAAGTAGGTCTCCTTAAGCTCCGCTGAAGAAATGACTGAAGCCAGAGCGCCTGCCAGAGTATAACCCTGATCATTGACCAGACGGAAAGCCTCCTTGCGCAACCGGTGCTCATAGGCCAAGACTACTTCCCAAGGTGGCGAAAGTGAAGGCACATCGGCTGGCTGATGAGACGTAGGCACTGAGAGCTGAGCGACCTTTTCGCCAAGGATGTAGTTCACGAAGTGGTCGAAGTCAGACAGCTTAAGATCCTGAAGCCATTGCTTGGATTTAAAGCGGGATGCCATGCATAGCCACGTGAAAGCTTCCACGCGAAGGACCTTGCGATAAGCTTCTGTAGTAGTCGGGAGCTCGCTCTTGGATTTGTGCTGAGTAATATGAATTCGCCCCGAAGCGTCAAGGCTGGACTGGATGCTCGTGGTGAGCGTGTTCTTCTTCGAAGTTATGGCATCCAAGGTTGAAGCCTGAGGCTCATTGGCTTCGCACTCCTCGCACTTGAGAGCGAGGTACTCAGACGATGGAGTCTCCGACTCTCCCAGCTGCCCGTGAACGGCCGCTACCGCCTTGAGCATTGCTTGCCTCTCTGTGACTTGCAAGATTCGCGGCTGGCCTAACACTTTCGCCTCTGCTCGTGTTTCCGTCTCTTTGCTGATTACGTCGCGTGCAAGTTCCCATGCAGCGACGACCCCCGCGATTTGTTGTCGCCCATCAGCAGCCCCATCATCAAGACCAAAGTCCGCCTTCCCAGCAGCCCGAGCTTCCGGCCGGGAATCGGCGATTGCCTGGAATCGCCTAAGTGTTGTGTGTCGTTGCACAATGCGATACTGGGCATCCAGAGACAAGCCAGCTTCTCCGAGCACAAACTGCAAATCGCTATCTGCTTTGGTTATGAGCTCGCGCTTCTCGGCATCTGTGGCGGCCATTGCGACAACAATAACTAACTCCCGCTACTCCTGATGCGAAGGCCGCGCCCCGGCCTGTGGCCCTGTAGGACTTGGATTGCTAGCCGCCCTGAGGCCTTTAGCTGCACTGCGATGTGTCCACCCGTCGCCCTGAGGCCTGTGACAGGATGCGGAATCCGCCGGCACCTCACGGCCTGCGCCGAGTGAGACTTCCTCCTGCTTGAACAGCGCCAGCACGTGCACTTCATCAGCATGAACTGTTATCGCGAAACAACTTCAAGATGCCCTGGGAAAGGTCAGCATGGACTGTTATCGTGGATCTACTTCAAGGCGCCCTTGCATAAGCAACTCATGCCAACTTCTGGCTAGGACTTGCAGGGCACAGCCTATCCACAGCAGTCGAAAGCATCTTTTGCCTTCACATCGACTCGCTCCCACTGTCACTGCTGGAGGGGTCTGATTCCTCCTCTCCGGCCTGAGCCTTCATTCTTGCTTTGCAATCTTTGCAAATGTTATCGACGTCCTCCGCGCCGACATGACTGACAAATTTCACATCATAACAATTCTCAGGCTTGACATAGCAGCCCAACATGTGCAGACGCCTCAGGCCTGTGGTGCGAGAGGTAACGATGAAGTAATCCCCCCGGCTGCCTGGCATCGAAACCTGCTCGACTGGAGAAGGTGGTGCCGCAACACCCACTTCCAATGCCAGAGTTGGCCACGACCCGCCCAAGCCTTTGGATCCCTCGAGGAGGGTGTGACGGCGACGAACCTGAGATTCGCTCTCCCCCGCCTTAGCTGCATAGTCCGTCAAAGCCTTGATGGAATCCACCTCGATGTAGTGCTTTGGCTGTCCGGTGACAAGGGAACAAGCAATGTGACTCTGGAGACGATGCACAACCTGCCTAGAAGTGCGAATGTAGGTTGCAGAACCTTCGCCACCTACCTTCCAGCGACCCAGATAATCAAGCTCCCTGGGGTCGACATCGATGGCCGCTCCGACCGAGCTAAGGAAGTTCCTCGCAGAATGTCCCGTAAAATGACTGGAAGTGTATCCCGGGAGCAGCGGACGCTGATCATTGGCCTTCCATGTGCGCCCCTCACGCTTGGGCGTTTTCAACTCACTGAGAACTTTGCGGAAGTAAAGGGCCACCGTGGAGGAAGGCACCGACTTCTCCAGGGGTTCCGTGAAACCTTCATTGGCCTTCAAAACCAGATAATCCCTCTCAAAATCGAAATCCTTCCAAAGTGCATATCCGACCTTCAGCCAATCATGCCCTGTCAGAGAGATACTCCGTTCCACGAAGACCTTGACGGTGTGGGTCCTTTTGTCGGGCCCTGTAGTCTTGGACCGCGCGAGATCAATGCTAAGCCCTCGCTCGTCCAGAAGCATGGTCTGCGGCAAGAGCCCCTGAACATCATCAGCCCGAAGCGATCCCCAAACCATCAATAAGCAGACAAAGCCCAATGCTCTCAAGTAACTAGGCTCCCCGGGCGTGCAAACGAAGATCTCACATGCAAGAACGATAGCAACAGTGAGCATGCTGGCTGGCTGCTCCGGCGGTGCCGCCGAAACCAAATCGGCTGTGTAACTTTTGAGCTGCGCCTGCCATGTGGGATCCTGAGATATCTGCTGCGTAGACGGCACGCGCCCTACACCTTCAATTACACTGAGAGAGGCTTGCAGGCTTTCGAGAACTGTCTTTCCACAACCTTCCTGGAATCGTTCATTGGCATAATCTAGTAGCTAACTTCCGCTTGCGAAGAACCGGAAGCAACGCAAGTGGACTCTGAAGTGCAATCTGATTGTAATGCTCATGCAAGCTAAGGCCAGTTCCCGGGACACTGGGCAAGCACTCTGTCAAGCGCCTCCTTGATTCCCTGCGCCCACTCGCAACTGTGCGAGCATTGTCTGCATGCCATTCAAGAAGTGCATCAGCAATCAACTGCAGGCTACTTTCAAGAAGCATGTTATCGCAAGCCCTAAGCAATGATACAAGCTCTTCCCTCGTGTCGAATGAGGCATGCAATTTCTCAGGCGTTCTAAACCACTCTTCAAGGCGGTTGCGGTATGGTGGCACTAAAGCGGGCCATCCGAGTCCTGTGCCACTCATGGCCGACCATGGGCCGCAGGGCCACCCTTCTACCGCTTTCGTAGTCCTAAAGTATGGAGCTACCGTGAAGCTAAACTGTCCAGTCATGCGTCACAACGATGCTTGTGAATGCTAGCCCCATACAATCAAAATTTTCCCTGCTCCTGAGCCTGAGCTCTGCGTCCATGATAAGCATTGAGATTGTGCGCGCACTCAGCTTCTGGCTCCATTCTGAAAAGCGCACGATACGTAAATAAAATAGAAACTCAAAACTGCTCAATAAAACTTTTCTCTTTGAAACTGCGGAGATCTTCGAGTTGGTCCAGTCGAGGGAACTCCTCCTACCCACAGAGACACCCCGCCCCGCCCACCCAAAACGTTTACTCTAAACAGCGCCGCCGGGCAAGCCCGGCAGGGCGCGCTGCACGAAGAAGCGCACATAGTCGGGTGTGCGATGCCACGTCAAACGATTGTGCAGGAAAAAGGAGCAGTGTGGCTCCAACCGCTCCGGACCAGACTAGGCTATGCCAGGCAGAGTAAAGTTCGTCTTTTATAGTGTTATGCTGTGCCATGGCCTGGTAGCAGAAGCGGTCACAGCTGAAAGGGTCCTCCGCTATGCTGTGCAGCAAAAATCTGTGCTTGGATGTTTTAGGCTCGGCATCTTCTGCTTCTGATGAGCTGGATGCGGAGCTGTGCGTAAGGCTGTCTTCTTGCATTTGTGCTGGACTATGCGTACAAGGAGTTGCTTCAGGTTGCTGTGTTTTTGGGCAATGCTGTCCTGACGGTGCCGCGGGCACGTGTGCCGGTGCTGTGGGTGTGCCAGGCGTGGCGGCTGAAGTCTGTGCAGCCGGGAGATGAGGCAAGGGCAACTGGGCCTGCCCGGCCAGTTCCAGCTGCGGTTTTCAGGAGCTGGGCGGCTCCTGGGGGTTGCGGTGCTGACAGGCGGGATGGCTTTTGCCGCAAGGCTCACCGTTGGGCATTTTGTATGCGCATGCGTGAAGATATTTGCACTGCGCGTTCTTGCAGTGCCCTTTATTGTACCGAATGCAGAAGGTCTTGTTGCCGTGCTGTTGCACGAGGTCCGCTGTTTTGACCTCCTGTGCTGTGCCCTCGCCGGGAGTGCGCCTCTTGCCTGGCTGTGTGCCTTGCTTGCCTTTGCCCCCTTTCTCCTTGCCTTTGCCCTTGCCGTTGCCTTTGTTCGGTAGGCGAGGCGGTGGCTTTTGCGGGGGGGGAGGCGGCCGGGCGCGTAGCTGGAGGAGGTTGCCAATATCAGAGCGGATGCTTGTCATTTCACGCAAGGCGTCATCCAATGTCCAACCGGCGCTGTGCAAAAGCGAGATTTCGCGCCACAGTTTGCGGTCAGCCGCGACAAGCTCTTGCGTGGTGACTGTGCGGAGCGATGCGTCGCTTGGCGATTGCGTCGCCAGATCAAGAATCTTTTTGTCATATGCCTTCAGGCGCTGCAGGTGCGCTCCTTTGCACAGTGCTATGGCGTTGCGGAATACTGTTTGAACTCTGCCAAGCCATGCGGCGCTCAGCCTGAGATGATCAACCGGCATTTCCGGTGTGTCATCAAACAGTGCAGTGCTGAGGAAGGCTGCTTCGGTGCGGATAGTGCGCGATGCTTTGCTCTCTATGAGCTCTTGATATTGCTTCTCCGAAAGTCGGAGTTGCCAGGGCACCCAGCTAATGGTGTTCCCTGGGGAAAACCAGCGATGGATTATGCTAAGCAAGCGCACGCTGGGCATAGCGTCGCTGTCAAGGTGTTCGCCAGGGTAGTTAGTGCGAAAATCCTTGACGAGCTGTGCAATGCTGGATGCGTCCAGTCTGGGCGGGGCGTGTTCAGCCCATACGTTGAGCGACGCTTGGGCGGTGCTGGCGGTGCTGTGAGAGGCAGGAGTGTCCGCCACTTCCGTCATGGACTGTGCACGACGGAGTGCTCTGCGAAGGCGCGCCATTGCTGGGCAGTGCACTGGGTCTGAGACGCCCAATTCATCCCAGAGCTCATCGTATTTGTCAGAGCAGAACACATCAAGGTCTGCAGTGCTGTTATATGCAAATGCGAAATCTGGCACAGACTCAATGCCGGTTCTGTGCAGTGCGTTGCAGAGGGCTTCGGGCACCTGCATCTGTGAGAGGAGATCCGAAAGTGCGTCCGGGGACTCCATTCTGCAGGCTAGAAGCGAAAGAGAAGTCTATAGTTCGAGCAAGAAAACGGCTGCGGATGTAAGGATGGCGGTGACAGTGCGTCTGGTGCAGGGCAGATTCAGGGCGGCGCACCCGAAGAGCGACCTGAGTAAGCAAAAGCTGAAAGGTATGCGGCGAGTGAAACCAACAGCAAGAGAGCGGATCCTTTTTTATTCAAGCGCCATTGCGGAGTGCGACGCAAGCCGAGCGACGGCAGTGAGGCTGTGGCGGTGCGTTGGAAGTGAAGGCAGCTGTGCCTAGCTTGATCCCACATGCTGTGCGCAGCACGCCGGATTCGTCAGGTGGGCAAAGCGAGTGCCAACAGCCCCAAGGGCCTGTGCATGCAAAGAGCGGTGTTGGACCTCCCAAGTCGATTTGCAAGGGTTCTTTAGAGGATACTGACGATGCTTCGCTGGAGGATTCGGAGCTTTGGCGTTGCAACGCCGCGTTTTCCACCATCCAGGCTTCTTCATCTGAGAAGGGTGCGATGGGGTCCGGCGATTCTGGCGAGAATTGCTCAATGATGTCTGGCGAGCTCTGCGTAGCCTGTTGCGATGCCGGGTCCAGCTGTGTGGGTGCCGGATGATGTTGCGATGCGGCGTGCATTTCTTCGTGCCTGGATGCAAAAGCCTTCCAAGGACCTGCCAGGACTTCCTGGGCGGTGATGCTTTGCAGTGGCTCCCCCGCTGGGAGGTGAAAAGGGGGCTCTGGAATGGGTGCTTGGCCTCCTCTGGCAACACTGCGGTTTGGCCGCCAGCCTGTGCTAAATGCTTGTGCGAGGCGGTGCTGGAGGTCAAGGCTGTCGAAAGTGTCATTCCGGCTATAAAGCCTTGCGCTGTCCCTGTGGTGTCCTTGAGCCAGGCGTAGCTCTTTGTAGACGCGGAGCTGTGCGGCCGCTGCCAACAGGGTGCTTTTCATGCTGTGCAGGGTGAGTTGTCGAGCTTCGCTGGGCAAGAGACCACTGCCGCTGGCCTTCCATGGCAGTGTGGCCAGATATCTAAGGCTGAGCAGGGCAGTGCAGTATGATGCAGGGGCAAGCTCTTCGACCAAGCTTTGGTCTAGTGCCGCGCTGAACCACAAAAAATCCGGCGGATCTCCCGATGAGGAGTCCACGATGCGGTGCAATGCTGAGAGCCAGTGCAGTGTCCAGCAGGTGGCCTTGCACCGGCCAGTGATACCCGCAAGGGTAACTGCGAATGGCTGGCCTTGCGTTGTAGTTTTCGTCGCCCAGCAGGTGCCGTGCCATGCAGAAGTGGAGAGCGATAGGCTGCAGAAGTCAATGCGTTGCAGGTCGCCAAAACGCAGACTAGCGTGGATGGCGAGCAGTGCAGCCCCCAGGACGGCGACAGTTGTGACGGGGGCGTTTGGGTCACAAACTCGCTGCTCCCAGGCAGCGATCAGTGCCCAGGGGATGGGCAGTGCTTCGCGACGGTCTTGAGCAGTGCCTTTGAGGGAATAGGCCCTTATAATCGGGCTGTCTAGTGCGTTGCTAAGGCATGACCACTGCGTTTGCCTTACGAACCAGCGAAGGGCTTTGATGGAAGAGGCGGCGCTGATGCGATGAATTTCCAGGTCTTGGCTGTGCGATGCTCTGGCCAGGGCGAGGAAGTCGAGTAGGCAGTGCAGGCTGACGTCGAAGAAGCTGACTGCGGAGCTGCAAAGAAAGTCCATGAATAGCGATGCAATGCGGAGATATCGCTCCAGTGTGCCTGGTGTGTTGTTGCGGATTACAGCCATAATATGGTCCGATGCTTGTTTGGCTGCTTCCACCGATTGCAAAAGATGCGAGGCTTTGCCTAGCTTGTACACTAGCTGCAGCCAAAGCGTACCGCATATGTTCATGCGCGATGCTAGGGAGCTGCGCATGGTCTTGAATTTGACTATGCGCGGCTTGGGAGGTGCAAGGGGAATCTGAGATGCCGGCGGCGGTCGTGGCGTTGCCGGAGAGCTTTGAAGAGAGCTGTGCGGGATGATTTGCGTGGCTGTGGATCCTGCAAGGCTGCGCGGCAGCGATGGAGGGGGCGGTGGTGGCAGGCCGCCAAACTGCAGTGCCGGCTCGGGCCTATATCTTTTCGGCGGCGGTGCTATGTGCAGTGCTCTATCCGCCTGCGGGACAGGCGGGTAAAATGTGTTACGCCGGGGCGTTGCCCGGGCTGTGGCGGGGCCCACTATCAAGTCAGCGACTGTTGGAAGGTCGCCGTGGCTGTGCTTGGCGTGGGGCGGATTCTTTGGGTGTGCCTGCAACAGGCGCTGCCGTTGGAAGACCTGTGCAATAGAAGGCTGTATAGGTGCAGGGTCTTCGATGAAGTCGGAGCAAGGCAGTGCGGGTTCTGCAGCAAGCGCGGCAAGATGTGCCTCAAAATCTTCGGCTATGCTCCTGGGAGGCGATGCTGGTTGAGACTCCACTTCGATTGGAGTGGAAGGTGCGGTGGTGGTGCGATCTTGGCTTTGCAGTGCCCAACGACGTCTCATGGTTTGAACCGTTTGAGCAGAAAAAGGCTGCGGGAAATGCTGTGCGTTGCTTGCGGGTTGTGTGTGACAAGCAGTGCTGTGCAGTGCAGAAATGTCAACCAAGCTCAAGCGACAGAGCTGACCTGTGCATTCAGGGCCGGGCCAACCTGAGAGGCCAGGCATTGCCTGGCCTGGAACGACGGGATGTGCTCGTACCGGTGGTCCTGACAGGTTCGCTTGCATGGCAAGTTTCACTCCGGTGAGTGCAACCATGGGGCCTTGCCAGGCAGTGCAGGGCTTCTGTCCTGACAGAAATAGGTATAGCTGCATAGCGACGGCTTGCTATGTAAGAAGTGCAGTGCCGTGGCGGTGCTTTTTGCAGG